TGAGGAGCACATTTGCCAAATTGCTAGAGAAATTGCGTTGTCTAGAACAGTTTATTTCTCTTAAAAACCATACAAATAGTTAAAAGTGAGCTCATTTTGTCTTATCTGGTGCTTGCTTCATTATTTTCAGATGTGGAACATCCCCGTAAAGAAAAGCGTCGTAACTAAAAATGCAAAGGCAAGTCAGGAAGATGCCGTTTCGGGAAATATACCGGGACATGACGAGGAAAAGCCTAAACGCATCCACACACATGTCAAAAACGCAGTTTGCTGTGCGTAGAAGTATCACAAGCGAGTCCATCCCGTCCGCTAGAGCGATTGTGATGACCGAGCAATCCGGGCAGCGAATATGATGTCATAAAAACACTTCTTTATGTAATTAAACGATGACGCAGCGAGGACCATAAATGTTTGCTGTTGCAAGCTTGTTATTTAGTGGAGTCTTTTTCACATCAAAGCCTAGCAAAAGCTGCGGTTGAGTTCTTCACACGTTACGTGCTGCTTGCCTCAAATATTTTCAAATGTAGGCCTGCCCCTTTAAGATAGGTTGTTGCATGTGGAGCATGTGAAGCACCATGTGGAGCAAGCTCAGTGATAATGGTTATGCAGGCGGACATCTTGGAAATTTGTCTGCAATGCGTAGCACGATCTTGTCAGCGATCTCACATTGCGGAGGCGCTACACGGAAGTCGTTCACCGGCCCCTGTCCACCGGCGCGGGCATGGGTCGGCAAACTAGTCGCGTTTGGCTTGTATGTCTCCCTCCGGGGTGTGCGGGTCACCCGTAAGCTACACACGTCACACGTACCCCCAGGCTGTACTTCTGCCAGTTGCTCGTGAGCTGGAAATGGTCCTCTACTACGGCCGTACGTCTGCCCTCGTGTTTCAGGAGGTCGTCATGTCACGTCTGGTGCTGTTTCTGGGATCGACTCGAGAGGGCAGGAACGGTGAACGCGTTGTCACGCATCTCGTCAAGCTCCTCAAGGAGAAGAACCACAATGTGACCGTTTTCGGTGAGGCTGTGCGGCCAGACGACAGCGTGCCGGCTGTGCTTTTCGCTCTGACGTTGATTTATAGACAACGGAGAACATGTTTTCCGTGCACTGTTCAATATGTCGTCTTTGAAGACTTGGGCTGGATTGTTCTGTGGGCGTGTTACGTCAGATAGTGTGGCTATGTCTGGAAACGTTGTCTCGTGAATGGGAAATGCGCGTCTGTTTGCACCGCGCGACAGATATGCAAGTGAGCTGTGCGCATACCTTCCAGCTTGGGGCTTGGACCACCTGTGCACAGCCTTAAGTGCCACATGACTATCCGCAATCGCATTGGGACCGTCATGATAAAAGCTGTGTGCTCCGTGTTCATATCGGCACTTCGATCTGTATTTATAATCCGCTTTGCTATTCATAATCCGCTTCGCACTATGGTAAAAAGTCGGGCCGGTAGGTTACTTAGCAAGGCTTCACATAGTGCTGGTCAGGCTGGGTGAGGGCGCATACATATCGTTTTCGGTTGCCAAGCTGGAATCACTGTCGCTTTCACTGTGCACCAGTCCCGAATCATAAACGAAAGCCGTCGTGTCGTTCGTTACCAATTGCACTAGTCAGACACCCAACGACAATGAAAGTGGCCACCGTCGCTGAGCTGCTGACGAGTTGAGTGTTATGATCCAGTAAGGGCACTGTCCGCCGCTCACGTGACTCCATCCCGTCACATGCGGCGTGGCCACAGCTGGCCTCACCCTGCGGCGTGCCCGCGCTCCGCAGACCCGCTGAAGATGCCGTTCGAGATGCTGCTCCAGCCGCTGCACTTCATGCCGGATGCTTCGGCGGCTCCCGAGTGGCTGCGGGATGCCATGAGACACTGAAGGCGGCGGACGGCTTCGTGGTGGTGACGCCCGAATACAACTGCGCACATGCCGCCGGCGCTGGTCAACATGCTGGACCACTTCCCGCCCGCCTCCTACCGCCACCGGCCCGTTGGCATGGCCTGCTACTCCTTGGGTGCGTCGTATTAGGCGGCTGGTCTGCTGCCGACTTGCGCGGCGTACTGGCTCGCCTGGTGGGAAGTGTCACTTGCTCTTGTGTGATGTGGGATTGGTTTGGCTGTAGAGTACCCAGCGAAAACCACGTCTGTTGGCAGCCCCAGCGGTGGTCTCTTGTGTGAGAGCTTTGGCTGCTGTGTAGCCTGTGACCGGCCTGGACATGAGCCCGAGCATGTAGCGAGTCTGCCACATATGGTCATCTTTTTCGTCGGAATAACGACCAGCTTACGGGGTTCGGGTAGTGGCGTTTACAGAGATATAGCTGACTTATGATGCAGTCACGGACCTTAGTTGCAAACCCTTTTCAGGGGCTTAGCGTGGCTTGTTGGCCTGCGGACGGATACTGCTTGCGTCTTCGCTCATGTTGTGAAGCGGAATGGCGGGTGAGGTTTCCACGTCGCCCGTGGTGACCTGTTCAGTGAATGTATCCGAAATCTGCCCGATGCCGTGCCGCGAAGCCGCCGCCCAGTAGCTTCAACTTGGCTCGGCTGTCGTGGTTGTGTGGTCACCTGACTGGTGACCGTGACCCGCCACTTGACTGACCTGACCTCTGACCTGTCCAGCAGTGTGGTGCTGACCTGTGGCTCCCACTGCAGGCCAGTTCGGCGGGATGCGGGCGGCGGCGTTCGCCCGTGCCCACTTCAGCGAGCTGGGCATGGTGAGCATTCCGTGCCAGTTCAACGTGCCGACGGTGACGCAGAACTTTCTCGGCCGACGGGCAGCCGCAGAATGAGCGCATTGAGCGCAAACGACGAGAAGCTGGTGCGCGAGCTCACCTGGTACGTGGACGCCCTCAAGGCTGCACGGAAGGGACGGCGTGCCAACTAGCCGCAGGCGGACAGCTCGTGCGGCGCGCGTCAGCTGCCGGTGACGTCACGCCCCACGCTTCAGTGCCGCGGGTCACTGCGGCCCGTCAGGTGGTGGCAGCGCTGTGTCGCCTTTGCCGCGCGGTCGACCCTAGTGATAGTGCTAACTGGACATACTGACGGTCGGAGCTTCATTTTCATGGTGCCGCTTGTTTCTCACTTTCGCCCTACCCTCACCTTTGTAATGTGCTTTTGTCTTTTGGTCCGTGGTCGTTGTAAGTGCCTGAGCTTGGTCAGCCCTGCACCGAGTAGCGGGTAAAAGCGTTGCCGGGCCGTGATTGCGATAGCTGAAATGCAATAACGCACCCTTTTTCGAAAGGGTAACGTGCTGAGCCCGTCAATGGTATTGAGCCTCGTGCGTACAGGTGTGGTATCGATGTATTGGTCGGCATATCATTAGATGATATTAGTGTTTCTTGTAAATCACGACTGCCATAGTTTTCAAGTGTCCGTAAAAAATGCACCTGGTCCGATGTTGCTATTCTTGGAATAATGGGATGACATTTGGTCTCTGAAGAACATTAACGACCATGTTCAAAAAGGGAACCGGTTAAAAAAAAACGACGCTTCTTAAAGCAAGCACCCTGAAGAACTTCCAATTTGCCTTGGAGATCAACCAAGTAATCATATAACATCGTACTTGATTCTGGGGATGAGCAGGGAAATACGCAAGTCCATGGCCAGGATCGGGGTGCAATCCTACCAGGCGTACGATGCCGCTGAATTTCAGCTAACCATAGCATTTCACCATCTGATGAAGGATCACTCATGAATCCTGTGTGCCATTTTGGCGTGTCACAGTATATATGAATACATGCTTTAACACGATTCCAGCAAAGACTTCGTTTAGATCACGAATGCTTTCGATTTAAGCTACGACCAAGCTCTGTTAGTGCGTTCACAAGTGATCAAAGTGCAGTTTTGTCGGAAGGATGAATAATTATCTTCGCCACATGTTCTCCTAATTCAATGCGAAGTTTTCAGCCAGAGTAACAGTATGGTGAAGTGATGTAGTGAGAGTGGGACTTATGTAACTGAATGAGTTTGTGGCTCGCAAAGCGGCGCGTGAAACACTGATAATATTAGAAACCAAGCGTGGTCCACTGGCGTAATGTTTTAGGACATCATGGCTAGAGGGTCAGGAGCCTAGCTCGCTGCTTCTTGTCTACGTCAGCTGTACATACAGCTTGCTACGGTGGGCCTATTTATGACGGCGATCTCCACACGTTTGCAGGTGACCGAAAGATTAGGTACACATGCAAAAAGCATAGGTGAGTGCCTTCTCGCATGGGATGTCCTAAATGCAGGTGATCCTTGATGAAAAAGGAGAACCTTGCAAAAAAAAAACGTTGGTTTGACGGTGCTGTTGCTGTACTGTCAAAGTGAGTATCGAATGCGTCAGAAATTGCTGACACGCACACAGCAATGTACTGATGTTAAAGCACACCGACGAAGCCTGCCGGTAGCTTCGGATACCAGTCTGAGCCTGCTCTGAAATCAAGCAAATATCCGTTGACTCATCGAAATTGATTCCTTTGAATTGTTGTGGCGGGTCGGAGTCGGGAGCGGAGTCTGGTGAAGCTTCGGCGGAGTCTGACTCGAGTCCAGTGAAACATCCGCGGAATCGGAGTTGAGTCCAGTGAGTCATCGGCGCGTCCGCTCAACCAGGTATGCATGTACGAACATATCATTGGTGTTAGCGACCTCGCAGCCTCATCCTAAAAACAAACGTCTTGTGTGGGTTTTTTCGAAGCACAAAAAGCGTGTTATCTCCTCCACAGACTTAGGCCCCACTCAAGTCGGCTCCGACTCTGACTGATACCACACAGAGGTCATTCGGGCTCCGACTTCCTCTGAGTTGTACAGGCTGGGGTCGACTCCAGATCTGGCTCCTGTTGTCTGAAATAAATGTAGTCGACTCTGACTCTGAGTTGCCTAACTGACCCAGCACAATTTGAATCCTTGCGCAGCAGTGCTACTGTGACTGGTTAAACGCTGGTAGAGGGGTCCCTCGGGTTACCCGTATGGCGTGACACGCATATTTCTGTTCCATTCCAAAACTTGATGAGTGTTATCAACGACGACTCGTGTCCGGTAAGTGCACTAGATGTATTGACTCTCCTTCACTCTGTACATAGCGCAGAGACGTGCGTGCCACAATTACAAAAGCGCCCGGCATCGGCGCGCCACCTTCTGTCTCACGGCGCCACCTTCTGTCCGTGATTACTACCGACTGCGCTGGCACCGGGTGTCCGTATTGCTCACGGTGCTGCCACCTGTGGCACTATTTCAGCAGTTGCTGGTCGAACAGGTGCTCGGCCAGGCTGTGCTCGCCGCTGGTGAACATGGACGCCAGAAGGTTGGCCTTGCTCGCCAGGCCACTGACCCTCTCCACCTCGGACTCGAGGGCGTCCTGAGCCTGGTGAGCCAGCTGCAATGGTTGGCTGGTGTCAGAGCGGCGCTGTGATGAATCCATCGGCTCAAACGAGGCACCATCAACTCATCATTTATCGTACGAGGAATGAAGGCGTGGGACGAATAAAGCTTACCTGTCATCCCAAAGTTATGAACTTGAGTAAGTCCTAACCTCGCATTAGTGAACCCGTAGGGAAATTAAGTACCTCCCCGTCATTAGCAGCCCAAGGTAGATACTCAGCTGCAACTGGGACTAAAGCGAAACAGTCGGCTAGAGCAAATTGGAGCCCGTTATGCATTGCTTGAGCTGATCGTCCTGCAGTCAAACACATGCGTGTTAATGCAAGTGTCAAGTCAGATCAAGCAATCGCTCAGCTCTCAATATGACCTTCAGTCTGATGCGGTCACGATCACGGTGCTTGCAACGTTCACCGCGTCCTCGGGACAGCGAAAATCGGAGGACCAGTCACCCGACCACGGCAGTAGCTATGTTGCGTTACCCTCGCGAGACGGGGGCCATTTTCACTCATGTCGGATCGACCTTCTCTCACCGCTGGGTCCCAAATTGAGCTAGAACCAAGACAAAAACAACAGCGGGATCCAGTGATGTGTGAGTGACCCATTCAGGTCAGATCAGTCAGTGACCTTCAGGTCAGGTCTTCTCTAATGCCTGGGAAGGCAAAGGCGGGAAATGACCACCTGCATTTACTTAGAATGGCGTTTTTTGAAGTAAGAAATGATAGCAATGTCGTGTTCTGAATCAGGTCCAGCGCAGTCATCGAGGATCAATGTAAAGTCGAACAGGACCCCATGTGTCATTGACCTCGTTTGAACTTGAAAACTACGTTTGAACTTGAAAGTTACGCCTGTACGTATTTAAAAACTACGTCGTCCTTCCAAGCAAGTTCCGAAATTGCGTTCTGTCATTCTGCACAGATTCGCTGCGCGAACTCACCACAGATTGCCAATCAAAAGAGAAAGACGGAGGCTTTCCGTGAAAACAAGTGCCTTGAAAGATAGCGTCACAGTGGTCTCGGATATACCACGTGGTGATGGCGCGTATCCCTCTCGTCTTGACCATGGTAAATCCACCTTACATATACTGCCCGTAGTTTGCGTACAGCGCCGTGACATATGTTCCCGTGACGCACTGGTGTGCTCCGTGTCCGACTGCGAACTCACATCGGCGTCGAGCGCGCAGCCGGCTTCAGCAATGCCGCCGGCGGTGGCCGTCAGGCAGAGGGCGCCGCGGTGCAGGCGCGCCTGCTCCTCGTACATGTCCTTGGCGTCGGTCAGGGCCAGGCCGAGGGAGGGCAGCGGCAGCGGGTTGTACAGGCCAGTCGTCGGCAGCTGCGGAGCGGGGCGGACATGGCAGCCGACGCCTCGTCGCCCCACGCCAGACAGATGAACGGGAACATCACACGACGCAGGCCGCAGAACGGTCACGCAGGCGGCACGCGGACTTGTAAAGGCGCGTCGTTTAAATAATGCGTGATTGGCTTTATTGTTCTGGGCAAATATGATTTTAAAGTGTTTTTCCAGAAACGAATACACCCAGGAGCGAGAACGATGTCGTTGGCAACTGTGTTGTCTGATTGGCGTGCTGAGCTACAATCCCGGCACCAAATGAGCACGAGGTTCAAAACTGATGTTGTAATACCGGTCTCGATTGGTACCCTTACCTTAACATTGAGAGCTTGGTGCATGGTGCCTCCGCGCTTGACCACGTACTTGATCATCGACACGGCCTGCTCGAAGCGCTCGTCCGAGGCACTCTTGAAGAGCTTTTGGAAGCCCAGTCGGTGGTTGGTGTGTCCCGGCCGAAGTGGCTGGACTGGAAACGGTGATGCGGACGCTCGTCACACACAAGTGCAGCCGGCCGGAGGCGCTCAGACGCTAACTCAGCATTGCTGTCTGACGTGCTATTCTTTGCGATTCTCTGCGTCATTTTTCGAACACTCGGATGTTCAAACACGGGCCACACGTGCCCCCTCACCTCTTCTGCAGGGGTGGTTCACTTACGATCGACATGTACTGCAGAGCCAGTTTCAGAGCCTTGTTGATCACTTTCTTGTACTGGGGCGCATGCACGGAGTTGAACGTGCCCACCCGCGCGTTGCACTCGTCTCGTACGTCGGTAGACAGATCTGCCACAGTGGGACGGTTGTGTTTGCCCGAAGCGCGCGCTTTGCTGACACCCTCCATGGATAGCGAGAAGAGACACTGCTGTGGTGGGCGGCATCTGGAGCTGGATTGAGCTAACCAGAAGGAATGCCTAGATTTACACAGGAGTCTAGGGGGGGGGGGGGGGCAAGGGTGTTATGGTCTTCCCACTTTGTGAAATCTCAGCGTTTAACCATTTCGCGCTGCGTGAATTAACCAATTGAGAAATATTTCAGGCCCATTCACTTTTAGCGACCTTTATACTCCACTAGGACACACTTTTTATCTTGACTTGGCTGATACAGGAGATACTCGCAGTAAAGTCAGCATAAACTGCTATCACGAGCAACGGTCCGACCCGTGGCGCAGAGGGTCAGTAGCAAACGCTATCTGTACGTACCAGGTGCTCCACCGCTGGCCTCTTGAACTAGGGTCTCCAAGCGGTTCTGGCAGGCCAGTGAACCTCCGATCAGTACGGCGAACAGGAGAAACGCGCGCATCTTTGGATCTGGAGGCACAAAACAGAGATGTTTAAACACGTCAATCTGAAAAACCACTAACGCTGGTCTGGTAAGTTAGAAGAGGAATCTCGCCGGTCAACAGCAAGCCCGCGACCCTTCTAACTTAGATGACCAGCGGTGCGGCCAGTGCTTCACGCGTACGCTGGTCTGGACGAGATGGCGCAGTACCCCGGTCTGCGGGTCGGGCAGGCTTCGCACTGCGTGCAACTGGCAGATAACCGGCGAAACGGCTTTCATTCACGGCGCGGGACGAAAAAAAATATCAGACGTGATTGTTATCACCATGGAGATGTCACCTAAATGCAAGCGGATGGAGTCCGTTGGCCACTAGATCTTTTGCTTACGGTTACAAGTTACTAATGCAATCGGAATGTCCTCCTTCCATTACTTTACCAGGCGTGAGTGCACTTCCTGCAGTGGCCCGTCAAGGCTTGGTATATTAATCGTCGAGATGAGCTGATCTGGTTTTGTGTGTGCTCTTGGTGACTCAGGCGAAAACAGTGGAAAATCCCTAATACTTTGTTGTATATAAGTCACTATAATCTGGTATGGTAGTTTTTGGTAGTTTGTCATAGCTCGATCTGTCTCGGCTTAGGCCATAGCGTGATTTGCTTTATTTGAGGCCAGATTTGGAGGCTTTGAGGATAATTGCCGAGGTCGCTTTCTGGTTCGACAACGGTCCGTTCGCCTGCATTGCGCAGCTGGTCTCACGTCTCTGCCGCTGGTCTGTCTGGTCCGCTCTAGTGGCCGAAATCTGGGCACGCATCCTTAACAACATCTGGCAACGGGCGCTTCATGGTTCACGCACAATCGTGCGCGAGAATATGCACACATTGGCCTACACCGTTGTCAGCACAACTGTCCGCTTTCTTCTCCGTTACTGTTAGCCAATCAACTAATACCTGGTCGCCGGAGCTGGCTTGATTCGAACGCCGTGTTTTCAACGGAATGGAGAAGCGGAATACTAGTATTGCAATGTTGCAAGAGTACGCTGCTCGACGGAACAGTGCAATTCAGTACCCAGGAGACATGGCAGCACAATTTATAAAAATGTTTGCTGTTTCTATCCGAAAATTGCGAGGTGGCGCGATCCGTAAATGCAAGGATACAGAAACTGTGAAAAGACATAGACTTATCAAAGATACAGGTCTGTCAAAAGATATAGGCCTATTAAAAGCGCGACTGGATGTGTTGGGCCGCTGAAGCTACCAAATTTGATAAGTTGAGGATTAAGGTCCTCTTTCGGTCTGCGGTTTGGCCCGTCATCCCGCACATCAATCATCACCGAGATGACAGTGAAATGAACGAACTCCTTGACCTTGAAACAGAAAGCTTCGGCAAGTACTGTGGGGTAACATAGTTTATCAGCTTTATGACAGTATAGTTTCCTATTCAGTTGATGACCTTTAGCCGCGCTCCCCCTCCCCCCTCAATCCAACCACGCAACTCTCAGGCGGAAGTTGGTCAATTTGGGCAAAAAAAAGTTTTCATCGTATTTGAGGGTAGGTTTGTGCGTGCTACTTGCTCAGCGACGTAGCTTAGTTTGCGGAACCGCGCCCCTGGTCACGTGTCAGGTGGCGTATCACCAGTGCGGTCATGTTCGGTCCTATACTTGGCGTATCACCCAGTGCGGTCATGTTCGGTCATATACTTGGCATATCACCAGTGCGGTCATGCACACTTCTGTAACGTTGCGTCCACTACCATCCGTTGAGTGTGGTGCTAAATGGAACGGTGGAAATTGCGCAGGCCCTTTGGAAAACACGGCTGTTCGGTTTAGTAAACGTCACGAAGCGCAAGCACCGTTACGTCAACACTGGAACTGCTGACCAACTCTGTAAACAGTTTATCGTGAAGGCCACGTTGACATCACGTTTACACGGCATGTACGCTATGTTTGAGATATATGGGTGTTGTTGAATTCAGGGCGCGTGGAAACGTACCTAGTCAGGGGGTTCAACTCTATCCAGCTCTTTCAACTCACATGTGAAATCCCCAAATCGTCGCTGAGCCCCTGTCCAAGTTCAACTTACAGCTGAGTATTCCCAGACAGCGGGCCCTCTGACCCTGAGACATCATGTCCGCTCCTTCTCCACAAAATACAAGCAGCCAGTGAAAAGCAGTATAAAAAAACATGTGTGACGAATTTTCACCAATAACTGCCTTCTTTGCCCCGCATGACCCTCACCTGGAGCCGCAAAATACAACAGGCATGCAGATCAAATCGTACATATTCGGCAATGATGAAATATCGTGACCCACATCCGAAAGCAGAGGGCTATTTCTGACTCACCAAGCCAAACGACGCGGGCGCGAGCGGCAACCTGGCTTTGAGAAGGGTAATCCTTTGATGGTCAGCTGTTATCCAGGCGCGAGCCAAACGCTGAATGAGGGCTGGTCGCTTCAACCGCTTGAAATATCCACAGCATAGCAGACTAAACCCCTCCCAAAGGCACAACAAACCAAGGAATAAATACGTGTTTTGCGTCACATGCGGCGTGCAAGGCCTGCTTCGAGGGCACTGTGTGGGTGAATAAGACGTGCGTATTTTACAGGGAGTCAGATTCCAAGATAAAAACGTAAACACCACCCTGTAGCCTGAATTTATTATTTAGGCTGTACAACAACCTAGTCGTGCCACCGTACCGTATGGATCACAGACACTTGCTCACCCCATGCAAGCAGTCACATAACAGTAAATTATCACACATCTAGCAAGTACCTACCTACCTGTTTCCTCCAGGGACGAAAGCCGACGGGAGACTAGGACCCGGTCGAAAGCTGACCAAGGCAAGGTACCACACTCGATATGCTCGCCCCGGTCACTAATCTAGGGTGACTCGGCCCGTATCTGTCGGGGTGGTAACACTGCGCCATTGGCTGATCTCTGGCCGTTCTTTGTTTGCGTGCATCTTCTGGGTGCGACACGTCAGGGGCCTGATCAAAACGGCTTTCAAATAGCGTGTCAGCACGGCTAAACAGTAACGTGCATTTGCAGACAGGCAAAACAACTGGCCATCGCACAGCATCCCGCGCCGCGGTGTTTAGTTGTGGAGCGTCCATGCGCGGTTCTCAGTCGTTATTGCAAAATTAGGTCCTCGCCTGGCCTGATTGGACTTTGATGCGAGGGTGCTGCTCTGCGCGGATGTGGTTTGATTGGCTGCTGCCCGGCGGCGGCGGTGGGTCAGTGGACGGGCCGGGACTGATAACAGAGATCCGAGAGTGTCCAGTGTGGCGACTCGGACGGCCAGTCTGTCCTGCCGCAGGCCCCAGGCGATTGACACCCAGTGGCCTGAACATGAAGACGCTGCTGCTGCTGCTCTCTCTGGTGGCCTCGGCCATGGCCGGGCTCTCGCTCAACGCCAATGACCCGGAAGACAAATGTGAGTATACGAATAACGTGAGATTTCGCCCCAGAAATGCGTCATCGCATAGCCATGCTCGTTTCATTCCTTCAAGCCATTTTAGTTTCTGAGCTACACGCCCGCGAAAATGGGGAAAGTTACATCGGGGAGAGTACTCCAAAGTCACCTTGGCATTCATGACGTCATAATAACGTCATTCAAATCCTGTCATTTCATAAGTCATGCGGCAAACAAGGCCAATAAAGTAAAATGGTCGAGACGTTCATTTATGGCGTTCGTGAGCTCGACTTCCAGATATAACGGCCGTCAATCGGCTCCCAATCAATGTTGTACAAGTTATGATGACGTAATGAAGCCGTGACGCATTGAGGGGCATGTTTACTAAAAAGAGAATTGTACTGTCTACAGCAGTTTTTCCACTTAATAATATGCCAGTAGCTATAAGTGAGCGTGTTTCATCACAGCTGATGCTTGCTTCAATATCTACAAATGTGAAACGTT